ATGCACCCCTGTGTTCATTGCAGCGTTATTCACAATAGCCAAGACTTGGAAGCAACCTAAGTGCCCATCAAGGGACGAATGGATAAAGAAGTTGTTGTATATATACACAATGGAATACTGCTCAGCCATAACAAACGATGAAATCCAGCCATTTGTGACAACATGAATGGACATTGAGGGTATTAGGCAAAGAGACATAAGTCAGAGGGAGAACCTCAAATACCGTATGTTTTCCTTCATTAAGTAGTAGATAATAACAACAATAAACAAACACATAGAGACAGAGATGGATTGGTGGTTACCACAGGGGAAGTGGGGAGGGAGGAGGGCGAAAGGGATAATTTGGCATAATAATAACACACAATAATAACACACATAATAATGTGTGTGCTGATGTGTTGTAATTAGTATTTGAGCGGTGAACATGATGTAATCTATGCAGAAATAGAAGTATAATGATGTACACCTGAAATTTATACAATGTTATAATCCAATGTTACTGCAATAAACAATAAATTAAAATAAAAAGAAGAAATACCATACTATGCTTTATAAATAAGCACAACTAGAGAATAATAAAAACACTAAATATTTCTATTCATAAAAAAAAAAGATGAGATTTTTCTGGTACTTGTTAGGTCAAGTGAATTTTTACATTGTAGTCTGTACATTTTGGATATCGCCGTGTGAGAGTCTGGACCTTATTTAAATCTTCTGTTACAGAAGGCCTTTTCTGACACATGGCCGGGGTCCTGACTCATTACTGCCAGGTGGAGGGGACAGCCCAGATCCCTCACCTGGCTCGTTTGACACCCACTGTGTCACTCTTGGGGTCCTAACACTCTTAGCCCATCTGCTGCCTTTGCTGCACTGTTTGGAGTATTCTGATGTTTGTTATATGTACAAGGTCCAGGAGTTTTCTGTGCCTTATGGAGGATTAGGGAGACACACCTCTGCTTCCTCTTTGTCCCAAACTGGAAGTCTGAAATGCAACTGATTCTTATATATTGATGTGGTATCCAGTGACATTGGATCAATTCTTTTCAAACTAGAATAATAGACCTTTATATTATTTGGGGTTTTCCATGCATTGTTTTGTAATCTGTGTGTAATACAGTTTTCTTCCATCCATTCAGTGCTTATTATGTTTTTTTTTTCGCTTTATTTAATTGGTTGGTTCTTCCAGTGCCCTGCTGAATAGAAGTGGTCTTAGTGAACATTCTTGTCTCATTTACAATCACAGGCAGAAAGATTTCAAGTTTTTACCTTTAAAAATTATTTCTAGGGGCTGGATCCATGGCGTGGTGGTTAAGTTATCATGCTCCACTTGGTGGCCCGGGTTCAGTTCCTGCACACAGACCTGCGCCACTTGTCAGCCATGCTATGGCTGTGACCCCCATACAAAATAGAGGAAGATTGGCACAGATGTTAGCTCAGGGTTAATTTTCATCAGTGAAAAAGAAAAAAATATTTCTATTGTAGTTTTTTTAAAGATGCTTTCAGTAAATCATAGGAAATTCTCTTTTATTTCTGAGAAGTTTCTTTTTCTTATACACAGTTATGTATTTTGTCAGAAGTTTTGAATCTGTTGCTATGATCACTTTTTTCTATTCTTTTATGATTGAAATGTATTGATTGATTTTTGAATATGAAACCAACCATGCATACCAGCATGGTCATGATAAAATATCCATTTTATATATGGTTGAATGTTGTTTGGGAATATTTTGTGTAGGAATATACAGCTAAGTTCCTGTGAGAGAGCTTCCTGTGATGTTCCCATTTTGTAGTTTCCTTGTCAGGTTTTGGTATCAATTTTTTTGTGGCTTGGTAAAAAGTGTTGGGAGGAATATTGCCTCGTTCTCTATTTTCAAGAGAAGCTTGTGTAAGTTTTGTATGTGTATGTTCATGTATGTGTGTCTGTATATATGTATATGTATGTGTGTGTGTCCAGATGTGTGTACATGTGTATGTCATAAGTGCATAAGTATTTGGAAGCAATTTCGAGTGAAACTTTCTAGAATCAGAGTTCACTTTGTGGGAAAATTCTTAATTATAGATTCAACAGGCTCAACATATATGACAATTCAGATTTCCTATTCATTTTTATTTCCATCATTTTGGTAAATTGTATTTTTGAGGATTTTGTCCATTTAGTCTACATTTTCTGGGGTATTAGCATAAAATTGCTCATAATGCTCTCCTATATACTTAAAGTCTGTAGGACCTATAATACTGTTCTGATACTATAATGTGTACCTTCTCTCTTTTTTCCTTGGGCATTGTGGCTGGGATTTATAAGTGTGGTTAACGTTTTCAAGTATGAATTTTTTGGCTTTATTGACCTTTATCTATTTTTTATCTGTCCTCATTAGTAGCTACTCACGTCATTATTATTTCCCTCCTTCTACCTTCATTTGGAATAATTTGCTATTCTTTTTCTAAATCCTTGTATAATAGCTTAGGTGACTGGTTTTTTTTTTTTTAGGCTTTTCTTTTCTAAGATATTCATTCAATAGCAGTTCTTAATTTTCACATTTGTTCAGTTTTATGTGTAATATTTACATTATTATTCAGTTTAAAATATTCTCTCTCTTCTGTTTTGGATTTCTCATTTCACTCATGGATTATTGAGAAGTCTGTTGCTTTATTCCCCAAATGTGACGATATCTGTTATCTTTGAATTCAGAATCAGGTGACTCCCAAACTGTCCCAGAAGCCCCTGGTGGTCCATGTTAGGAGTCCAGGCTGGCTGGGGGTCACTAGGAGGTGTCCACTAGGGGAAGCTCCCATGCCTTCTGGGGTCTCTGCAGTCTCCCTCCCTGGAGAGTGGGTCTGGGTCATTCCTGGGCTGGTCATTCCTGCACTGGGTCATTCTTCTGGATGGCCAGAGTAGCATACACAGTGGGCTCTGCTGGGGGCTCCTCTGGCTGGGAGGAAGTGGGTGTCATCTCCTGTCTGACGGTCAAGTGGTTCAACTGGGCGTAGGTCACATCCTGGGGGACCTCAGATGCAGCAGCCTGGAACAAGGGGAAAGTAGGGGAGATAGGTGTATGCATGGGTAGGGGGCAGCCTGAAGTCCGGGAGAGGATGAGACTCACCTGCCTGTCCACCTGTCTGTCCTCTTCTGCTTGTCTGGTCTTAGTGTCCAGTGATTCCTCTGACAGGGGGGAACAAGAGGTGGCCACCCCCCACCTGAGTCTTGATCTTGAGTGGTTCACCTGGGCGTATGTCACTCCCTGGGGGTCTTCATCATGGGGGCCCTGCTGGAGGGAGACAGAGGGACAGAAACAGTGCCTCCCTGACCCCACTGCTGACCTCCTCCAGTCAACTGTCCACTCTGCTACAGCGTGAGGTCACTTCCTGATGGAATCCTCAGGGACATCCTGAGCCTTGGACATCTGGATGCTTTCTACAATTCTGGATCTTATGCTAACATCCTATCTCTCAGTCGTTTGGCTCCAGCCACATGGCCCATCTGCCTGAAAAAGCATGCTGCTGCCTCAGGACCTTTGCATCTGCTGTTTCCTCTGCACCCCTCATGAACTCTATCCCCTTTCCTTACTTTATCTTCCTTAAGAGCACTTTGCACTCTAGGATGCTACCTACATGTTTGCATGTTGTCTCTCACCCACGAGGTGAGCTCAAGGAGTTTGGACACAGTTTTCTCACTGCTGCACCTGCAGCACCTGAATGGAGCTGGGTAAACAGTGAGCTCACTGTGCATATTGTTGGGTGAATGAATGAAGGGGGCCCAGGGAACTTGTGGGTGATTCATTCATTCATGCATCCTCTCGAGCCTTAGGGGTGCACCCCAACAAACAGAAGGTCAGACAGAGGATGAGGAACCAGGAGACGGGGCCACATAGGAGGAGCCATGAGGTCACAGGAACCAGGAGGAGTGAAGTCACAGCATGACGACCCAGGGTGCCTGAGAGGAGAGGTCACTGTGGGGCGCCGCTGAGAGCTGGGGATGTGAGGACAGGAAGTGTCCATTGGATTAAGATTGACAAGAGGAAGTTCCTGGGTGGCCTGGACAGGAGCAGGGTTCTCACCTGATGGTCCAGCTCCACCCCCTCCTCAGGCTGTGTGTCCTTCATGGCAGCATCTGCTGGGGCAGAACAGGAGGTGTGTCTCTTGGCAGGATTCCCTGAGATCTCCTAGGATTGCAACCTCCCTCTGCTCCCAGATGGGCCACTGAGGTCCAGGGGTGAGGAAATGTGCCTGAGGACTCTCAGGGTGGGATTTCAGTCCTTCTCACCCCGAATCCCCAGACCCTCCCAGCACAGCCTCCCATGGCCTCCTGAAATCCCTGTGCCCACCCCCAGGGGGACTCCTCCTCTCCTCTCACAGAGGGTCTCATCCTGGGCCTCAGCAGCTGGGCTGGAGCTGGGGGAGGAGATGGGAGTGTTAGGGGCAGAGAGGGACCTAGGGCGTTGTGCGACTCTGGGGTAATCAGGACAGGAATTTCCTGATCTGCAGGCCTCTGTCCTTGGACTCTGGGTCTGCAGCCCCTGCAGGATGTTGGAGATCAGCCTGTCTCTGGGCTGGGTCATGATGGACAGGGTCTCAGCCCTGGGAGGTCATGACCACCCGCCCTCCACATGGGATTCGAGAGGAAAGGAGGAAACGTGAACACTTACTTTTGTGTGTGTTTCAATATTTGATGAGTTTTAAAAGCTGAAAGAACACCTTAAATGTGGACATGTGCTGTATTAAGTGTTTTCTTTAAGATTTTCTGATTTGAGATGCTGGGAAGGTCTTCCTCGCATGTCCTTCCCATCTATTTGGTTTCCCTCTCTGGTGTCCTAAGCCCACCTTCTCCTGTGACCCAGGTCACCCTGTTCTCTACTCACCCAGAATCCTGTGTTTGCCCTGATGCCAGATGAGGAGGAGCAAGAGAAGAACGGAAATCAGCAGGACAAAGGCCACCGAGACCCCAATCAGAACATTCAGGTACGATTTGAGACCTTGGGCACAAGTGATGACATGAATGAGCCAATGATGCTATTTAATTGAACGCTTCTGTGTGCCAGGCACATGCTGGGGTCTGTGCATTCATCTCCTCTAATTCACAACAATCATGCAACAAAGAACTGCCCTCCCCCATCCACCCATTTCACAGATGAGGAAACTGAGGCACAGAGCGGTAAATCATGTGGCCCAGGTCACCCAGCCTGAAGTGGCAGACTTGGGACTGGAACTCAGGACTGTGGGATTGCTTGTTTTATTTATTTATTTTTGTGTGTGTCTGTGTGTGTGTGTGTGTGTGTGTGCTGTCCCCTTACCCTCCAAGGAGAACAACAATGCAGAGACCTGTGAACCAAAGCCTATCCCTCCCCCTGCTCCTCCTCTCCCAGCCCAGGTCCATCTCCCACTCTGCAGAGGCCTGGCATCCAGACATGGGGCCTGTGTGGACATGGAGCTTGTGTGTCTGGGAAGGGTGGGAGGGAGGGCTCTGTCCTCCCTGAGCTCTAACAGGGCCAGGCGCCAGGCTGAGGGCTTTCACTCTGAAGGAGGTGGCAGGAGGCTTGTATTGCAGAGAGGAACCTAGGACTAGAGAGGACCATAACGTGCCCAAGATCCACAGGTGGGAAGTAGCAGAGTTGGGTTTGAACTCAGGGGGTGTTCTTTCCCTAACTCCACGGCTGCTCCTGGGAAGGCTGAGCACCCCTAAGCTTATGGAGGAGATCTCAGACACCGCCTGTGTCACCACACGGTGTCTAAGCAGACTTCTTGTCCTCTGCAAGTGGAGAAATTTGTCCCAGTGAGAAGGTGAACTTTTCTCAGGTCACCGTCTCAGGAAGTGGCTGATCCAAGACAGGACCTGAGCTCCTCCCACCCACCACCTCCCCACAGAGACGCTCACTTACCCCACCATGTGCCTGACTCCATGGAGGAGAGTCCATCCTCAGAGCCTCATGGGGATCAGGACTAGAGGTGATGGTGGGGCTGGTTCTCCCCCTTTAGCCCAAATGCCTATCCCACAAGGTGAGCTCCAAGATCTCTCTTTGCCATGACTGCCCCACCTGAGATCTTCCCAGCCTCAGAGTCCATGGAGCTCTGTGCACCCCACCTCCCAGGCTTCTCTGCCCGACTTCCAGCCCACCGGAAGACAAACCATGTCAGAGCAGATCATTGTGGTCCCTCCGGAATTCAACCCTCTGCTAGTCACCACTCATGTGGTCTTTCTGGGTGAGGGGCTACTAGGACTGGAGACTAGAGGAGGATAAGGAGGGGGTGTCTCTGGCCTTTCTCCTTTTGTTCAGTCCTGTGTCCTCTGCAGCCGCCTCCACTCACTACAAAGGTATCTGGACCTCAAGGTTGAGGATGAGGATGAGGCTGGGATGGGAGTTGCTCTGGCTTTTTCCATCCCTCTGAGAGGTGAGATTCCCCTCTGGCTGAGTCTCCTTCTGTCACCCACTTACTCCCATCCCAGCCCAGAGCTGCCCTGGGGACAGGACCTTGAACTGACCGTGAGGACACAAGGGCAAAACTGGGGCTCCTTACCTGAGACCCGAAGCTCCAGGGGGTTACTGGGGGATGATAACAGGTAGGGAGAGGTGCTGTCTGAACTGTAGCACCTGTAAGTCCCCTCATGGTCGGAGGTCACAGAACTGATGGTAAAGTTGGCCTGAAAGGGTGGAGCCTTGTCCTGCAGACGAAGGTGCTGGGGAGGAGCAAGTGACCCCTCCTTGGACAGAAGGAAGGCATCCAACCAGATCTCGGAGCGGCACTGCAAAGTAACGTTCTCTCCCCAGGACACTGAGGGCCCTGGCTGGGCTGAGAGGGAGGGTTTCTCATACACTCCTGGGGGAGAGGAAGATCGTGCTTCTACAGAGCTTTGTCCCCCCATAAGTCCTTGACCCTGAGCTGAGGGATCAACATCCTCTCTCCACTGACTCAGTCTGTGACCCCCTCTCAGCACGTCTCTGTCTCTCTGGGTGGGTCTCTTTTATCTCCTTGCCCCTCACTCCCCCTTTCTCACTCTCAACCTTAGACCACTGCCCCATCTCGCTGCTGCTCCAGGACCGTCTCCCTGGACCCCATCACCACCAGGGGTGACCCTGGGCCCAAGGCCCTGAGTTGACAATCAGGACATTGGGCAGGGCAGGGGCTCCTCACCCGCGATCAGGATGTCCAGGGGGGCGCTGGGGTGTGACCACGCATAGGAGAGGTTGTGTCTACCAAAGCATCTGTACTGGCCCCCGTGGGTGCTGTTCACATGGCCCAGGGGGAAGTCGGGTCTCTGCTGCCCATGAAGACGCTGGGGGGTTGTGAGCCCCTTGACTTTCATCAGAGCAAATCTCTTAAAGCCAGCCTCTGAGTGACACTGGAGGGTCAGGTTGTCTCCAGAGAACACCAGGGAGCCAGGATGGGCTGAGAGTGAGGGCTCCCTGTACACGCCTGGAGAGAAGGGACAGAGGCATTGAAGGGGATGCACAGCCCACTTTGCCCACTGAGGCCTGCAGTGACTGTTCTCAGTGGTCCCTCTCCAAACTTCTTGCTCTGTGGTTCAGGCCCCAGGAGGCCATGTCACCACGTCCCCATTACACACAGGGCTCCAGTGGGCACACAGCTTAGGTCAGTCATTTTGGGGTCTCAGGGATGCCCTCACCTGTCACCTTGAGATGCAGAGGGTGGCTGGGGTGTGACCACGCATATGGGTAGGAGCTGTGAGAACCATAGCATCTGTAGATCCCCCCATGGGAGGTGTTCACAGGGCCCACAGGGAAGACAGCTTGTCCCATCCCAGGATAGGTCCTCAATTCCATGTGTCGGGGCGGGTCAGCTCCTCCCTCCTTCAGCAGATGGAAAGTGTCCACTGTGGACTCTGAGCTACAGGAGAGGGACACATTCCCTCCTTTTGCCACCACACGTCCTGGGTGGGCTGAGAGGGAGGGTGCACCATACTCTCCTGAGGGAGAAGGAAGGAGCTGTGTTAAAGGGGGGACCATTAGCCCACATACCCCAGGTGTGGACTGTGAGGGCTGAGGTCCCCTGAGCCCACACTCTGTTCCCTTCTGCCTGTGAGGAGCACCCCACGGTGGGAGGGGACCTGGCTCCTCCCCCTTACCTGTCACCACCAGTGGCAGGGGATCACTGCGCTCTGATGAGCCATTCCTGCTGGTGTTATATGCACACTGATAGAGCCCTGCAGTGTGTGTGCTCACAGGTTCGATGCAGAAACTGATCTTGTTGCTGGAATGCTGTGGGGCCTCTGTATACAAGGGTTTAGAGACCCTCTCTTTATACAGATGATAGACATCAGCTGGCAGAGACCCCTGACACCAGATGGTGACAGGGCTCCCCCTAGTGACCATGGGTCCTGGGTCAGCCCAGATGGAGGGTTTGGGGAGGGATCCTGAAAAGGAATCAGACCTGAAGTGTCAGGGGAGCCCTTCTCCCCTCTGCTTCCCCAACTGTCACTCCAGGACCCTCCCTGACTGGTCCCATTAGCCCAGACCCTCTGACTTCCACCAAGCTGCCCGGGAGGAGTTCCTTTGTCTGAAGCAGGAGGTGTGGGGGAGGACTCACCCGCCTGTACACTGTCCAATGGGCCCTGACACAGCCCTGGAAGAGAGTTTCCTGTGAGAGCATGTCCACTCACCCATACATAGAAGCTCCAGGCCTGGTCTGAGCCCCTGAGTGCTGGGGTCAGATCTGGGGCTAGAACACTCTCCCACCCCCAAAAGTTCTCTCTCACTGAGCCTCTTGAGTCTTGGAGTCTCTCAGGGACTAAGACCTGGAGGGGAGGAAATCCTATGTTCCTGTTTTCCCCAAAAACTCACCAAGACAGAGAAGGGCAGTGAGAGTAGGTGTCCTGGCCCTGCCTCTCATGGTTGGTCCAGATGACTTAAAAAGACCACAGAGCCCAGCAGGACAGACGGACGTATGGAGTGTGAGAAGGTCCAGGCTGTGTGTGACATGTCACAGGTTCCTCATCTGTGGCCTAACAGGAAGGGGAACAGCCCCTGCCAGGCCCTTACTCTGCTCTCCCTGAAGTATGATTCTGAAGAGACAGCAGCTCTGGGGATCGTTCATAGCCTATCTGAGACTCACTAGACCCCACACACTCTGCCTACACCTCATGCCAAACCCAAATCCAGAGAGTGACACTTGTCCCAGAACATGAGGCTTGGTGAGGGCAGGGGATGACCAGCTCAATTTCTGTTCCAACTTTGACTCTGCCTCTTATAGAGGCTTTGTGACTTGGGGCAACTCACTTCCCTTTGCTGAGCTTCTGTAAATGCTAATTTTCTTCCTCTCCTTCATCTGCTAGGAAGTCAGTCAATATTTATCGAGCAGTTCCCATGTCCAGTCATGGTTCTGGGTGCTGGAGAGTCATCGGTGAAGCTGACAGAGTCTTTCCCTGGACTCATGGGTTCAGATGAATGAAGACAGACAGAACAGATATTTAGCGGCAAACAGTTACGTTAGAGTCTTGTTTTAATACAAGTCGGGAGAAAACAGGGGACAATGAAATTCAATAACAGGTAGATGTCTGGCAACTTACGTTCTGGCTGTGAGGGATCTTTTGGGGAAGGAGTGACCCAAGGCATGAGCACGGTCAGCCCAGAGGTGGCGGTGGGTCATCCTTGCCCAGAAAGATCTGAGCTGTTCTCAGAATTGAGAGCAATCAGAAGAAGGCTGGGCCTTGTCACACAGGATCTTCAACACCATGCAAGTACTTTGGATTTCATCTTGAATGCAATGGGAAGATTTTAAGCAACAGACAGTATGAACGGATTTCTGTTTTAAAAAGACTACCGCCATGTACAAAATGTAATGCAAGAAGCTCTATTGATAATGAACTGTATTGATAATAAAACTCCAACATCAATCTGGCCCCTGGGTGGTATGTTGATCAGTATTTTAAGTTATGTGATTTTCTCATATAACCCTTACACAAACCTATAACACAAAGTACATTTACAGTTGAGTGGAATGAGACAGGATGGCTTCTAGGTCAGGCAGGTTGGAAAGGAGTGGGCTAGGTCAGACTGGCTGAGGGAGCAGCCTGAGGAAGGCACAGAATTGTTAAGTAGCTCAGTCTGTGTGTGTGTTTGGGAGAGTGTGTGGGTAACTGTGATGAGTTTGGTTGAGGAGGAGAGTTGTGTTTGCTGGGGCTGTGAGTTTAGCTCAGACCTGATCATTCACAGCCCTGAATATCGGGTGGTGCAATTTGTATCCTTTTTGAAGATGGAAACTGGTGGAAGGGTTTTGAGCAGGGCAGGAACAGACCAGACAGGATTATTAAAAGGATCCTTTGGAGGCAGTGAGATGAATGAACTGGAGGAAGGAGTGTGGGCCTGGATTGGAGGACCAGGAAGGAGGCTGGTGTGATGACACAGATGAGATGCCCTGAGACTTGCTATGGATCAGGATATTGTTAAGAAGGACTCGGGCCGGCCCCGTGGCTTGGCAGTTGAGTGCGCGTGCTCCGCTACTGGCAGCCCGAGTTCGCATCCTGGGCGCGCACCAACGTACGGCTTGTTCAGCAGTGCTGAGGCGGCGTCCCACATACAGCAACTAGAAAGATGTGCCACTATGACATACAGCTATCTACTGGGGCTTTGGGGAGAAAAAGGAGGAGGATTGGCAATAGACGTTGGCTCAGGGCTGGTCTTCCTCAGCAAAAAGAGGAGGATTGGCATGGATGTTAGCTCAGGGTTGATCTTCCTCACAAAAAAAAAAAAGACGAAGAAGAAAAAGGACTCAAGGGGCATAGTGGTGGTGATTTGATAATTGGAAGTGAGGGACAAGAGAGTGAGGAAATGAAGTCTGTTCCACTCTCTGCCTTGGTGCCTGGAGGAGCCAGTGGGGCCATCACAGGGAGCAGGACCCTGGGGGAGAAGGAGGCTGGGGAGATGCTTAGAAGACTGATCACCATTTCTCAGAAGAAAGCACAGCCCTCCCTCCTGACCTGGGATTGTGGATTTTCTTCCCCACTAACACTTCCCTTCACTGACTTCTTTGTTTCTGTAAGTCAGCACCATCTTTTTCTTCATCGCCCTCCTTCAAATCTCTGAGTCATTTCTGCCTCCTCTTTGATCCTTCCTTTCCTGGACAGAAGTCTTCAGCTCATACTGTGAATTCTTTCTCCAGACACTGGGTGAGAGCATGGGTTGGAGGCAAAAAAGAACTTAAAAGATGAACACACACTCAGGGATGTGTAAGACAATTTGTATCATTGATCTCACAGCAAAAGGAGATGATATTAATGAAGAAAAAGTATTTGAAGAAATATGTAGCTGGCCATTTCAGAGATTTGTTGCAAGTCACAAAAATACACGTTCAAGATGCTCATCGAATGAAAATAGGATAAGCTTTAAAATCCATGCCCGCTCACATCATAATCATAATCAAATTTTTGAGAATGCAAAAGGAAAAAAAAAGAGTTGAAACCATCCAGAGAAACATGCCATGAAACACAGAGGAAAAAGTATTTGAATGATTACAGATTTCACATCAGAAACCATCGTGGTCTGAAGATGTTAATGTTCTGAGAGAGAAGAAGAGCCAATCTTGAAATTCTGGATATATTCTTCAGGAATGGAAATGAAATAAAGTGATTCTGAGAGGAAAGAACACTGACAGAATTTGTTGCCAACAGACCTGCTCTAAAAGAAGTAAGGTAAGTTCTTCTGGCAGAAAGGAAAATAATTCTAGAGGGAAATTTGGAAATTCAAGAATAAAGGAAGAGTAAAAAATGGTAAATATCTAGGTAAATGTAAGTGTATTTTTATCCTCTTACGTTCTTTAAAGTGTGTTTGGCTGTCGAAAGCAAAACTGTTAACATTGTCTGGTGGGTTTTTAACATGTGCAGATGTAACACACAGAAAAGCTACAGTGTAAAGGGATGGGGGTGAAAGGATCTATAGGGTTTTAGGGCTTCTACATTTCTCCTGAAGTGATAAAGTGTTAACTCTACGTGTACCCTGTGAAACTGGGTGTATATATTATACTACCTGCAACAGCCACTTAAGAAACAACGTGCAAAGTGTTACAGTTAGAACTCCAATAGATAAATTAAAATGAAATGCAAAAAGTATCCCAAAAAGCCGAAAGAAGGCAGGAAAGGGAAAACAGAAGAAAAAACAACAGAGAGAACAAGCAGAAAACAAACAATAAATGGTGAACCTGAAAAGAATCTTCAATAATTACATTAAATATAATCAGAGCAAGCACAATCAAATGGCAGAGATCATAGGATCGGATTAACAGATACAAGTATGACCCAACTCTATGCAGTCTACCAGAGGGTCACTTTAATACAATGATGTGGACAGGTGAAAAGTAAAAGGATGAATATATCATGGAAACATGAATTAAAAGTGCTTGAGTGGCTGCCTAAGTTTCCAAGTTCTGAGGTATAAAATCAGTCTCCCTGGGCTAATGTTGAAGTGTCAGCAGAGGTGGTTGCTTTTGGTGGGTCTGCAGTGAGAATCAGTTTCCCAGCCTTTCCCAGCTCCCAGAGATGCCTGCAGCACTGGGTCCTGATCCCTTCCTTCCATCACTGCAGCCTCTTGATTCCATCATCACGTTTCCTACCACTGACTCTGACCCTCTTGTCTCCGTCTTACTGACTCTTTATTGTCAGGTGGAGGGTACAGTCCAGGTCCCCACATGGCTCCTTTGACACCCATTGTGTCACTCCTGGGGTCCTAACAGTCTTAGCCCATCTGCTGCCTTCTCTCCACTTTCTGGAGTATTCTCATGTTTGTTGTATACACAAGGTCCTGGAGTTTTCTGTTCCTTATGAGGATTAGGGAGACAAACCTCTACTTCCTCTTTGTCCAAAACTGGAAGTCTGAAATGCAACTGATCTTTATATATTGGTTATGTATCCAGTGACTTTGGATAAGTTCTTTCTAAGTTAGAATAATAGATGTTTATATTATTTTGGATTTTCCATGTACAAAATTTTGTAATCTGTGAGTAATATAGTTTTATTCCATCTATTCAGTGATTATCATGCATTTTTTTTTTTTTGCTTTATTTGTTTGGTTGGTTCTTCCAGAGCCCTGATGAGTAGAGAAGTTCATAGTGAACATTCTTGTCCCATTCTCAGTCACAGGCGGAAAGATTTCAAGATTTTACTGGTAAAAATTATTTCTAGTGTAGATTTTTAAAGATGCTTCAGTAAATGATAGGAAATTCCCTTTCATCTCTGAGGATGTTTTTTTTTTTTCGTTATAAATGGTGATGTATTTTATCAGAAGCCTTGAATGTGTTGATATGATCATTTTTCTATTTCTTCTTTTATGTTTGAAGTGATTGATTTTTGAATAGGAAATCAATCCTGCATTTCTAAAAAAAAACATACCAGCATGGTCATGATACGTTACCCATTTTGTATATCGCTGACTCTTGTTTGGGAATATTTTGTGTAGACATCTACAGGTAAGTTCCATTGAGAGAGCTTCCTGTGATTTTCCCATTTTGTAGTTTCCTTGTCAGGTTTTGGTATCAATTTTTTTCTGGCCTGATAAAATGTGTTGGGATGAATATTGCCTCCTTCTCTATTTTCAGGAGAAGGTTATGTAAGTTTGGTATGTATATCTATGCATGTGTATCCTTCTGTGTACATATGTGTGTGTGTGGCCATTTGTGTATATCTTTGTGTATGTACGTATATGTGTCCCTGTACATATCCCTGTGTGTGTCTGTGTGTCCAGGTGTGTGTATGTGTGTATTTTCTAACTGCATATGTGTTTGGAAGTATTCACCAGTAAAGCTTTCCAGACAGAGAGTTCACTTTTGGAGAAAATTTTAATTACAGATTCAACATATTTAATATATAAGGTAATCACATCTCCTATTTATTTTTATGCCCATCATTTTGGTAAATTGTATTTTTGAGGATTTTGCCCATGTCATGTACATTTTCTAATATACTGACATAAAATTGATCATAGATCAATTATCTATTTAATATCTTTAAATCTTTAAATTAGGTCTTTAAACCCATCTATTATCAACTTAAAGTCTGTAGGATCTGTGATGCCATCATGATAATGTAACGTGCGCCTTCTCTCTCTTTTTCTTCCTAAGCTTTGTGACTGGGATTTATAAGTATGATTTAATGCTTTCAAGGGGGAGATTTCTGGCTTTACTGACTTTTCTCTATTTTTTTGTTTGTCCACATTAGTAGCTACTTTTGTCATTATTATTTCCCTCCTTCTACCTTCATTTGGAATAAATTGCCATTCTATTTCTAAATTCTTAGTAAAACAGCTTAGGTCATTGATTTTTCAATGCTTTCCTTTTCTAATATATTCATTCATGGTTCTTAATTTTCCCATTTCATAAGTTAGATGCGCCATAGTTACATTATCTTTCAATTTAAAACATTCTCTCATTTTTGTTTTGGATTTCTCATTTCACTTCTGGCTTATTGAGAAGTCTGCTGCTTTATGTCCAAATGTGGGGATATTAGTTATCATGATAGCCAAACAGGTGACTCCCAAAAAGTCCCAGAAGCTCCTGGTGGTCTATGTTATGAGTCAGGCTGATAGGAGGTCATTAGATGAGTGTCCAGTGGGGGAAGATCATGTGCCTTCTGGAGTCCCTGCCGTCTCCCTCCCTGGAGGGTGGGGTTGGGGTCCTTCCTGGGCTAGTGGATGGCCAGAGCAGCATACACACTGGGCTCTGATGGGGGGTCCTCTGACTGGGAGGAAGTGGGTGTTGTCTCCCCTCGGAGGGCCAAATGGTTCAGCTGGGCATAGGTCATGTCTTCAGGGGCTTCAGATGCAGCAGCCTGGAGCAGGGAAAGAATGGCGGGATTGGTATGTGCTTGGGGTAGGGTCAGCCTGGGGGCCTGGAAAGGATGGGACCTGCCTGACTGTCTACCTGTCTGTCCTCTTCTGCCTGCCTGTCCTTCATGCCCAGCGATTCCTCTGACATGGGGGAAGGAGAGGTGGCCACTCGCCACCTGGGTCTTGATCTAGAGTGGTTCACTTCAGAGTACATCACTCCCTGGGGGTCTTCATCTTGGGGGCCCTGCTGGAGGGAGACAGAGGGACAGAAACAGTGTCTCCCTGACCCCAGTGCTGACCTCCTCCAGTCAACCATCCACACTGTTACAGAGTTGAGGTCACTTTCTGATGGAATCTTCTGGGACGTCCTGAGCCTTGGACATCTGGATGCTTTCTACGGTTCTGGTTCTTATCCTAACATGCTATCTCTCTCACTCATTTGTCTTCAGCCATGTGGCCAATCTTCCTGAAAAAGCATGTTTCTGCCTGAGGACATTTACACCTGCTGTTTCCTTTGCCCCCTGCATGCATTCTATCCCTTTTCCTTGCTTTATCTTCCTTAACAGCACTTTGCATTCTAGAATGGTACCTTCATAGTTGCATGCTGTCTCTCACCCAGGAGGGGAGCTCAAGGAGTGTGGAGGTAGTTTTCTCACTGCTGTACCTGCAGCACCTGAATGGAGCCGGGTACACAGTAAGCTCCTTGTGCACATTGTTGAGTGAATGAATGAAATGGGGCTAGGGGACTTGCAGGTGATTCACTTATTCATGCATCCTCTTGAGACCTGGGGGCGCACCCCGACAACCAGGTCTGACAGAGGATGAGTAACCAGGACAGGGGGCCACGTAGGAGGGGCCATGAGGTCACAGAAACCAGGAGGAGTGACGTCACAGCAGGAGCATCCAGGGTGCCGGAGAGGAGAGGTCAGTGTGGGACGCTGCTGAGAGCTGGGTGATGTGAGGACAGCAAAGTGTCAATTGGATTAAGTTTGACAGCAGGAAGGTGCTTGGTGGCCTGGATAGGAGCAGGGGTCTCACCTGATGGTCCAGCTCCACCCCCTCCTCAGGCTGTGTGTCTTTCCCTGGAGCATCTGCTGGGGCAGAACACAGGGTGCGTCTCTTGGCAGGATTCTCTGAGATCTCTCAGGGCTGCAGGCCCCCCTCTGCTCCCAGATGGGCCACTGAGGTCCAGGTCATAAGGAGACGTGCTCAAGGTCACTCAGGGTGGGATTTCAGTCCTTCTCACCCTGAATCCCCAGAGCCTCACAACCTATGCCCCCATGACCTCCTGAAATCTCTGTGCCCACCCCCTAGGGAGGCACCTCCTCTCCTATCACAGAGGGTCTCTTCCTCAGTGTCAGCAGCTGGGCTGGAGCTGGGGGAGGAGACGGGAGTGTTAGGGGCAGAGAGGGGACCAAGGGTGGGGTGGGAGTCTGGGGTCTTCAGGACAGGAATTACCAGATCTGCAGGCCTCTGTCCTTGGGCTCTGGGTCTGCCACCCCTGCAGGAAGTTGGAGATCAGCCTGTCTCTGGGCTGGGTCACGATGGGCAGAGTCTCAGTCCTGGGGTGTCATGACCACCTGCCCTCCAGAGGCGATTTGAGAGAAAAGAAGGAAACCTTAACACATACTTTTGTTTATGTTTCAATATTTCTTGAGATTGAAAAGCTGAAAGACACTTTAGATGTAAACATACATCCTGTATTAAGTGTTTTCTTTTGAATTTTCTGATTTGAGATTCTGGAAAGTCTTTTTCTAGTTGACCTTCCCATCTATTTAGTTTCCCTCTCGCTGGTGCCCTAGCCCACCTCTTCCTCTGACCTGGGTCACCCTGTTCCTTACTAATCCGATATCCTGTGTTTGCCCTGACGCCAGTGTCAGATCAGGAGGAGGAAGAGGAGGCGGGAAAGCACCAAGACAAAGGCCACCGAGACCCCAATCAGAGACCAGGTACTCTTTGAGATCTTGGGCACGAGTGACATCATGAATGAGCCAGTGATACTATTTATTTGAGTGCCTACTGTGTGCCAGGCATGTGCTGGGGTCTGTGCATTCATGTTTTCTAACTCACAGCAAGTCATGCAACAGGGAACTGCCACCCCCACCCACCCATTTCACAGATGAGGAAACTGATTTACCTCACAGAGAGGTAAATCATGACCCCCGTGTCACCCAGTCTAAAGTGGCAGAGCTGGGACTAGAGCCCAGAACCATGGGTTCATTTGGGTTTATTATTATTATTATTGTTTATGCTGTCCCCTCACCCTCCAGGCAGAACTCCAGTGCAGAGACCTGTCCATCAAACCTAATACACACCCCTTCAGCCCACATCCCAGCCCAGGTCCATCTTCGGCTCTGCAGAGGCCTGGCACCTCCACATGGGGCCTGTGTGGACATGGCATATGTGTGTCTGGGAAGGCCAGGAGTGAGGGTCCAGTCCTTCCAGAGCTCTAAACATGGCCAGGCCTCTGAGTGATGCTAGAGGGTCAGGTTGTCTCCAAATAGCACCAGCAAGCTTGGCTGGGCTGAGAGTGAGGGCTCCCTGTACATGCCTGGAGAAAAGGGGACAGTGGCAGCGAAGGAGATTCACACCCGAGATAGCCCACTGGCGCCTGCAGTGAGAGTACTCACTCGTCCCTCCAGAAGGAACCTGCTCCGTGGTTCAGGCCACAGGAGGCCACGTCACCAACTCCCATCACCCACAGGGCACAAAGCCTAGGTCAGTCAGTTTGGGGTCCCAGGAAATCAATGCATCAGGGGGGCCCTCACCTGTGACCTGGAGATGCAGAGGGTCGCTTGGGTGTGACCACACGTAGGAGTAGGAGCTGGGAGAACCATAGCATCTGTAGGTCCCCCCATGGGAGGTGTTCACAGGGCCCACAGGGAAGACAGCCTGCCTCCTTCTGTGACAGATCCTCAATTCCATGTGTCGGGGTGGGTCAGCTCCTCCCTCCTTCAGCAGATGGAAAGTGTCCAATGTGACCTCTGAGCTACAGGAGAGGGACACGTTCTCTCCCGATGCCACTACAGGGTCTGGTTGGGCTGAGATGGAGGGTCTACCATACACTCCTACGGGACAAGAAGGGAGCTGTGTTGAAGGGGGGACCATCAGCCCACACACCCCAGGTGTGGATTGTGAGGGCTGAGATCCCCTGAGCCCACACTCTGTTCCCTTCTGCCTGTGAGGAGCACCCCACAGTGAGAGGGGACTCAACTCCTCCCACTTACCTGTTACCACAAGGGGCAGGGGGTCACTGTGCTTCACAAGCCATTCCTGCTAGTGTGATATGCACACTGATACAGCCCTGCAGTGTGTGATCTCATAGATTCGATGGAGAAACTGGTCTTGTTGCTGGAGTCCTGTGGGTCTTCTATGTCCAAGGGTTTAGGGACCCTCTCTTTATACAGAGGGTAGACATCAGCCTGCAGAGACCCCTGACACCTGATGGTCACATGGCTCCCACTGGTGACTGTGGGGCCTGGGTCAGCCCAGATGGAGGGTTTGGGGGGTGCTCCTAGAAAGGAATTCCACCTGAAGTGTCAGGGGGGCCCTTCTCCCCTCAGCTTCCCCAGCTGTCACCCCAGGCCCCTTCCCCCTCAGGCTGGTCACTTTCAGGCAAACCCTCTGTGCTCCTCCCAGCTGCCCAGCGGTCTTGTTGGTCTGAAGCAGGAGGTGTCGGGCAGGACTCACCTGCATGTACCCAATCCCACAGGCCCCGACACAGCCCTAGAAGAGAGTTCCCTGTGAGATCATGTCCCCGCACCCGCACATAGAAGCTCCAGGCCTGGTCTGGGCCCCTGAGCACTGGAGTCAGATCTGGGGCTGAGCACACTCTCCTCCTCCAAGTAGTTCTATGCCCTCTGAGCCTGAGTCTTGTGGTCTCTCAGGGACCAGGACCTGGGAGGGGAGGTGGCCACACCCCTCCTTTTCCCCCAAAACTCACCGAGGCAGAGAAGAACAGTGAGGATTGGGGTTCTAATGCTGCCTTTCATGGTGCCCAGTGGTGCAGACGATTGATAAAGTCCACAGAGCCCTGCAAGACAGACAGAAGCTGGAAATGTGACAAGATCCAGGCTCTGTGTGACTCACCACGACTTCCTCATCTGTGGCCCCACAGGAAGGGGAACCTCCCTTCCAGGGCCTCACTCTGTTCTCTCTGCAGGATGGGACCGAAGAGACTGCAGGGTATGACATTCCAGATGATCTGAGTCTCACCAGACCCCATACACTCTGCCTCCTCTTCATGCTAAACCCAAATCCAGAGAGTGACACTTGTGACAGAACACGAGGCTTGGAGAGGGCAGAAGACTAGCCAGCCCAATTTCTGTTCCAACTCTGACTCGGCCTCTTATAGAGGCTTTGTGACCTGGGGCAACTCACTAACCTTTGCTAAGCTTTCTGTAAATGCAAATTTTCTTCCTTTACTTCATCAGCCACGCAATCCCCCTCAATATTTACTGAGCAGTTACCATGTCCAGTCATGGTGCCAAGAGCTGGAGAGTCATTGGCGAAGCTGACAAATTCTTTCCCAGGACTCATGGGGCTCAGATGAATGAAGACAGACATCACAAATACTTAGGTGGCAAACAATTCTGTTATAGTCTTGTTTTAATACAAGTTGGAAGAAAAAAGAAAACAGGAGACAACGAGATTCAATAAATGGTGGACAACCAGCAATGTGGGTCCTGGTTGTGAAGGTTCCTTCTAGGGGAAGGAATGACCTCAGGCTTGAGCAGGGGTCAACCCAGAAGTGGTGGCAGGGGCATACTCACCCAGAAAGATATGAGCTGTTCTCAGAAATGAGAGCAATCAGAAGGATGGGCATGTCACACATGATCTTGAGCACCATGCAAGTAATTGGATTTTATCATCAAGGGAATGGGAAGATTTTAAGCAGCAGACAGTATGAACATATTTCTGTTTTAAACAGATTACCACCGTGTAGAGAATGTAATGCAGGAAGTGTCTATTGATAATTAACTCTATTAATAATAAAACTCCAACACTCATCTGGTCCCTGGATGGTGTGTTGATCAGTATTTTAAGTTGTTTATGTGGTTTCTCCTATAACCCTTGCACAAACCTATAACACAAACTACATTACAATTGAGTAGAATGAGACAGGACGGCTTCTTGGTCCCTCAGGTTGGAAAGGAGTCAACCAGGTTCAGACTGGCTGAGGGAGCAGCCAGAGGAAGGCACAGAATTGTTAAGTAGCTCAGCTTGTGTGTCTGTTTGGCAGGGTGTGTGTGGTTAACTGTGATGGTTTTGGTTGAGGAGGAGAGTGGTGTTTGCTGGGGCTGTGAGTTTAGCTCAGACCTGATCATTCACAGCCCTGAACATCAGGTGGTGCCCCTTGGACGTGTTTTGAAGGTGGAAACTGTTGGAACGGTTTTGAGCAGAGTGGGATCAGACCAGATAGGGTCGTTAGAAGAGTCTTTGGAGGCGGTGAGAGGAATGAACTGGAGAAAGGAGTTGAGGCTTGGATTCAAGGACCAGAAAGGAGGCTGATGTGATGACACAGATGAGATGTCCTGAGTCTTATGATGGATCAGGATATTGTTAAGAAGGACTCAAGGGGCATAGTGATGTGGATTTGATGATTGGATGTGAAGTACAAGAGAGTGAGGAACTGAAGGCTGTTCCAGTCTCTGCCTTGGTGCCTGGAAGAGCCAATGAGACCATCACAGTGAGGAGGACCCTGGGGAGAAGGAGCCTTGGGGAGATGCTTAGAAGACTGATCACCATTTCTTAGAAGGAAGTACGGCCCTCCCTCTCGACCTGGGATTGTGGATTTTCTTCCCCCCAAACACTTCCCTTCACTGACTTTCTTGTTTCAGTAAGTCAGCAGCATCTTTTTCTTCATCATCTTCCTTTAAATCCTCTGAGTCATTTCTGTGTCCTCAGAGCCCCTTCCTCCTCCGGGCAGACCTTTTCATCTCATACAGTGAATTATTTCTCCAGGCAATGGGTTTGAGCACGGGTTGGAGGCAAAAATAGATTTTAAAGAATGAACACAGTCTCAGGGATCTGTGAGACAGTTTATATCATCGATCTCCCAGCAAAAGGAGATTGATATTATGAAGAAAAAAACATTTGAAGAAATAAATAGCTGACTATTTCTCAGATTTTTTGAAAGTCATAAATTTACACGTCCAAGAGCTCAGCAAATACACAGTAGGATACACTTTAAAAACCATGCCCAATCACATCATAACCTATAATCAAACTAGTGAAAACCAAAGAAAAAATTTGAAAGCATCCAGTGAAAAATGCCGTGAAACACACAGAGGAAAAATGACTTGAATGACTACATATTCCACATCAGAATCCATCAAGGTGAGGAGATTTTAAAGTTCTGCAGGCGAAGAAGAGCCAACCTGCAATTCTTCTGGATATATTCTTCTGGAATGAAAGCAAAATAAAGTCTTTCTTAGGAGAAGGAACACTCAGAGAATTTGTTGCCAGCAGACCTGCTCTAAAAGAAATAAAGTAAGTTCTTCAGGCTGAAAGGTAATTATTCTAGAGGGAAACTTGGACATTGAAGAATAAAAGAAGAGCAAAAAATAGTAAATATCTAGGTAAATGTGACAGCATATTTTTATCCTCTTAAGTTCTTTAAAATGTGTATGGAAAATGGGAAAATAGTTTGAACAAACTGAAAATACAGCATACTAATCATTGTGGGGAGCAGCCAAAGCAGAGTTTTGAAGAAAGGGAAGAGGAGCAAGTGATCATATTAAACAAAGAGTTGTTTCTTATCACTAACCCAAGGTTCCATCTTAAGACACAAGAAAAAGAAGAGCAAACTCACCCCAAAGTAAGCATAATGTAATAATAATAGAGGGCAGAAATCAGTGGAACTGAAAACAGAAACACAGGAAGAAAAATTAATGAAACACAAAGCTGACTCTTTAAAAAGACCAGTAAAACTGACAAACCACTAGCCAGAATAACCATGGTAAAACAGAAATAATCATTGCATAAATGCCTGTATGTTTGTTTTTGCTGCCTCAAAATTTGAAAGTAAGGTGACATGAGTGCTCATGGAGGAAAAGTAACTGGGCAGTTCTGACTCTCCGTCCTCTGCACTGTCCCAGACTCCACGTTTTCTTCCCATTCTTCTGTCTTCCTTCCTCATGTGCCAAGATTCCTCCCTTTATCAGTTCCTTTCTGGGTCAGGAAGTTCCTTTTCCATTCATTTAGGGAAGACCTGCTTGTGACAAATCCTCTTATCTTCCTTCACCCGAGAGTGTTTTTATTTCTTCTTCCTTCCTGAAGGATAATTTCACCTTCTGTAGAATTTGGAATCAACAGTTCTTTTCTTTCTGCACCTGAAATGTCGTTCCACTTGCTTCCTGCCTTCACGGTTTCTGATGGGAAGCCCGTTGTCATCTGAATGGTTTCCCTCTATGGTTGGGTGGCATTTCTGTCTCACTGCATTCAAGGCGCTTGTCTTTTATTTTCCCTAGTTGGGTCATGATGGGTCTTGGCATGGCTTTCTTTGGGCTTATCCTGTTTGGGGTTCACTGAGTGTCATGAATATGTTGGTTTATGACTTTTGCCAAGTTTGGGGAAATTGTAGTCAGAATTTCTTGAATAGTTTTTCTGTCTCATCCTCTTTCTTCTCTGCTTCTAGGACTCGGATCACATAGATGTGAGATCTTTTGTTAGGATCCCGCAGGTCCTGAGGCTCTGTTCATGTTCCTTTCCAGTTCATTTTCTCCGCCTTGTTCAGATTGAGTCATTTCTATTGTTCTGTCTTCATGCTCATTATTTCCTCTGTTCTCTCCATTCTGCTGTTGATCCCATCCATGGAACCTTCTATTTTGATGATTGTATTTTTCAGATCTAAAATGTCCATCACCTTCTTATTTGTATCTTCTAATTCTTTGCTGAGACTTTCTTTTTTTTAGATTTGTTTTAAGTATGTGTGTAATTGCTCATGCAAGCATTTTTATTATGTCTGCTTTACAATCCTTTTCAGTTAATTCCAACCTCTGTGTCACCTCAGTGTTAGCACCTGTTGTCAATGATTTTTTCTTACTCAAGGTGAGATTTTCCTGGTTCCTGTTATGGTGAGTGTTTTTGTAAATAGACCCCTGGACATCATGGATATCATGGTGTGAGAGTCTGGATCTTATTTAAATCTTCCGTTACAAAAGGCCTTTTCTGACACATGGCTGTGGTACTGACTCAATACTGCCAGGAGGAGTGTGCAGTCCAGGTCCCCATGTGGCTCCTTTGACACCCACTGTGTCACTCCTGGGGTCCTAACAGTCTTAGCCCGTCTGCTGCCTTCTCTCCACTTTCTGGAGTATTCTCATGTTTGTTGTATACACAAGGTCCAGGAGTTTTCTGTGCCTTATAGGGGTTAGGGAGACAAACCTCTACTTCTTCTTGGTCCAAAACTGGAAGTCTGAAATGCAACTGATTTTCATATATTTATGCGGTATCCAGTGACATTAAATCAATGCTTTTCAAATTAGAATAATAGATCTTTATATCATTTGGGGTTCTCCGTGCACACAATTTTGTGATCTGTGATTAATACAGTTTCATTGCATCTAGTCAGTGCTTAGCACATTTTCCCTTTTTATTTAATTGGTTGGTTCTTTCAGTGCCCTGCTGAATAGAAGAGGTCACAGTGAACATTTTTGTCTCATTCACAGTCATAGGCAGAAAGTTTTAAAGTTTTTACCTTTAAAAATTATTTCTACTGGGCTGGCCCCGTGGCTTAGCAGTTAAGTGCATGTGCTCCGCTGCTGGCGGCCTGGGTTCGGATCCCGGGCGCGCACCAACGCACCGCTTCTCCAGCCATGCTGAGGCCGCGTCCCACATACAGCAACTAGAAGGTTGTGCAACTATGACATACAACTATCTACTGGGGATTTTGGGGAAAAATAAATAAATAAATAAATAATTATAAAAAAATGAATTGAAATTTAAAAAAAAATATTTCTATTGTAGATGTTTAAAAATCCTTTGATAAATTATTGGAAATTCTTTTCTTTCTGACAAGGATTTTTTCATTATAAATGGTGATTTATTTTACCAGAAGCTTTGAATCTGTCAAAATGATCATTTTTTTCTATTTCTTCTTTTATGTTTGAATTGTATTGAGTGATTTTTGAACATGAAACCAACCATGCATTCCTGAAAAGTACATACCAGCATGGTCATGATATATTATCCATTTTATATATCACAGACTCCTGTGTGGGAATATTTTGTTTAGGAATCTACACATATGATCCTGTGAGAGAGGTTTCTGTGATTTTCCCATTTTGTAGCTTCATTGTCAGGTTTTGGCATCAATTTATTTGTGGCCTGATACAATATGTCAGGAGGACTATTCCTTCCTTCTTTATTTTCAGAGGAAGCCTATTTAGGTTCAGTGCATGTGTGTGTATGTGTGTGTGTCTCCATGTGTGTGTGTATCTATGTGTGAGCGTATGTGTTTGCATGTCCATGTGTGTGTGTGCACATCTGTGTATGTATGTGTGTGTCTGTGTGTCCATGTGTGTGTGTGTGTACAG